TAGTCTCTAATTGAAAACTTAATGAGTTACAATGTGCGTTGAGAGCCTTGTTTTTAGAATTTAAATATATAACTTCAGTTTCCAACTTTGATACCTGTATTTTTAAATTATCTATTTGCTCCACATTATGTTTTTCTTTAGAAATTAATTGTTCAACTTGACTACTTAGTTCCTTATTCCTATTTAAAATATAAAAATTATCTGCATCTGCTGATTTTTTTTGTTTTTTTGTTTGTGGAGCTGGAGACAGTTGCATTTTAAAAAATGCTTCGTTTTTTGAAGCTTCAAAATACTTTTTAGAATCTTTTTTTCTTTGTTTTATTTTTCGGCACATTTTATTTAACACATCAATATTAGGCATATTAAATTCAATTGGCAAAAGAAAACTTAAAAAAGTAAACAACGCTTTTGGATGAAAAACTGTTAATAAAATTGAAATCATATTGTTAGTGATCTTACTAGTGTCAATTACTCGCTTTACAAAATTAAAGTTATACTCATTTTCCCAACCATCTTCCCAACCGATGTACAGTTTCAAAATTTCCCTCTCAGTTGCATACATCACATAAATAATGATAATGATCTTTTAATAATAATATAATAAAAGAAATTAAATAAAATAATATTTACAAATAAATACACTAAAAATAAAAGAATTAAGCAACTTATCTGAGATTAGTCGAATATCCACGAGGAAATAATCCACGAAACTTTGCTTTATAATCTTTATTGATATAGTAATAAAATTATAATACAAACAACTTAAATAGAATAATATTGACAAATAGATGCACTAGATAAAATCGGATTAATCAACTTATCTGAAATTAGTCAAATATCCAAGAGAAATTAATCCGCGAAACTTTGTTATTTATTCTATAAAATGTGTCTCGTTTGTTTTGTTTGTTTTCTTAAAATGCATCCGATAATCGTTGGGGACGTAACGATCAGAGTTTGCGTCACCGTTTTAAAATGTAAACAAGAATTTATGCAAAAAAAACTGAAAAAAAATGTCGCTAAACATGCCAAGTTTGAAAACATATTTGATAACATAGCTAGAGGTACAGAAAATAATTTTTTGATTTTCTTATTCATATAAGGTTGAAGTATTACTAAATCCACAGACTTTTCAAAAATGTTATGTTTTTTATTCAAAACGAATAAAAACAAAAATATAAATGCATTAAAAACTAACTTTCTATATAAAAACTTGCAAAGTCTGTGGAAATCTAGATAGAACAGACATTCATTAATAACTGTTCTAAATTTTAACCATCGACCATGTAGCTATGTTATCAAATCTTAGTTGGCCTAAGACAGGTTTTGCGTAAAAATCGCAAAAATCAGAAAAGTGATGCCAAATTATTAACAATATTTTTACAGCTTTCATTTTTATTCCGTTTAATGTAAATGTTTATTTAACAAGGAAAGATAGATCTTTTATATTTTTTTTATTTGAAGATGAAAGCATTTATAGAAAAAAAATACTATTATTTTAAAATTAATGAATTTTTATACTTTTTATGCGGAAATACTTTTTTTTTTGATAAACTCGTGACGTCAGGCTCGCTTTTATATTGAGTGAAACAGCCGTGAGCAAGTTCCATAACCGCGGCCCTCGGCAAGATATCGAAAAATCAGCTTGTTTTGATAATGTTTTTGGTATAATAAAATTATTTGTTGAGTATTTAGTTTCGTATTTGTGGTTTAAAGAAAAAAAATAAGTTTGGAAAATGCTTGGTAAGCATACCATTTTTAAACTTAAACATGAAAATAAGTATATTAAGAATATTTATTTCATAGACATTAGGCACTCCAATTTCTCTTAGTAGTGGTTTGGCACTAGCGTATTTATTTGCATTTAATATCAAGCGAATTGCTCGTTTTTGTATTTTGTAGATCATATTTAACTTTGAAGGATAAGTACTTGCCCAGATAATGTTGCAGTAGCTGATGTAGCTATGAATAAATGCAAAATAAATATTTTTTAAACAATTTGTGTTTAGGAGATGTTTTGTTTTATACATAATACCAATAATTTTTGATATCTTATTTTCTATTACTTTGATATGGTTACTCCAGCTAAGATGTTCATTAAGAATTACGCCTAAAAATTTGATTGAGTATTCTCGTTTAAGTTTAGTTTTATCAATTAGTAAATCAGGTAGTTTTAAGGGGAGGGTTTCAGATTTTGATAATTTTGTAAAAAGAATATATTTACTTTTTTCGACATTTAAGGAGAGTTTGTTAGCCTTAAACCATTCGTTCAGGTTTTCAAGTTCTTGATTAACAGTGTTAAATAATAGGCTAATGTTTGTGTGGCTAAAGAACACTTGCGTATCATCGGCAAAAAGGACAAAGTTAAGTATGTTAGAAGATAAGTAGATATCGTTAATATAAACGAGGAATAATAATGGACCAAGAATTGATCCTTGTGGAACCCCACAAGTAATGTCTTCAAGTCGTGTTACAGTGTTGTTATATGATAAAGCTTGTTTCT